GCCAGGATTGCTCACAGCAAAGAAGAGAAACGGTGCCTTTAAGAGCTCTGAAAGCCAAGGGTCCAAATGGTCACATAAAAAAAAAAAAAAAAAAAGAATGTCGTGGCCTATCGGATGGGGGATGCACCAGGGAAGAGACTTTGGTATTTTTTTTTTTTTTTAGAAAAAGCGGGAAAGACACGGGTGACTCTGCGGAGCTTAAGTGTGCAGCCGAGATTCTGATTGGGGGGTCATGCCTAGCTCCACCCAACCTGCTTAGTAACAGGCAAGCCAAAGGCTGTGATTGGGGGACGAGTTTCTTTTGCACCGTGGAGAGCAGTGAGAGGGCGCCACTCGAGTCTAGGTCGGGGTGTGGTGCAGGGACCCTGACAAAATGGCTTCGTCTTCTGGCGGCACAGTTTCTGGAAAAGTGATGACAGATCCTAAGAGTGGGGCAAAGGTGACCTTTCTAGATATGTCTCTAGGTATGTAGATCCCGATTCCCAGTCCGCGCTAGTCTGGGGCGCGGGCGCTAAGGCACCCGGGGCCAGAGGCTCCCACCGTGGGCCCTGCGCCCACCAGCTCCCAACAAGGCTTAGGCCGGGGCCCTGCCTCTGCCCTTCGCTCCCATATTCCGGGCCTGCAGCCCTCTCAGGTGGGAAGCAGCCTTGGTCCAACTAAATGAATGGGGAGGAAGGGCTGCCGAGAGGGGCCGGTGGGGGTAACAGGAGGCCTGAGATCGCCCTGTTTTTTATCCTGCAAAGGACTAACTGCTAGTCTTGGCGCCTACTCACACGTGGGGCCACATGCTCCGTGCCATCACCCCTCAACCGGGGCTCCCCTGAGCCAGAGATCGTGTGGTGCAGGGCTAGGCTGAGGTGATGGCGCGAGTCTGCGCCGAGTTGGGGAACGTTGGTAGTCTGCAGCAAAACTGGGCTAAGAAGGCTTTTGCTGGCTTGCGGGTGGCATTTATTCACTCCAGACCACCTTTCCCGCCCCGATCCCGGGGAGCGCCCGCTGATCTTTACCTCAGACCTGCACACGTAGCCGCAGGATCCGGGCGGGACGTGGAGCCGGAGCTGGAGCGGGAGCCGGAGCCGGAGTGGAGCCTTAGCCCTTCACTGAGATCCTTAACACCCACCAAATGCAGAGAAAGTGGGTTTTATTTGGGCTGATCTCTTAAAGGGGGTAGGCGGAAGGGGCTGACTTTTTACGTGAGGGGGGAAGGGCGGGGATCTGAGTGGGATCTGAGTTTCAAAATGGTGGGGGTGGGGAAGGGCGGGAGAGCCAGGAAGGAAAAAGTTAGAAGCCGGGAGGAAGAAAGTTTTAGGAGCCAGGGAAAGAGAAAAACTGCAAGGGCGACTTTAGAAATTAGAGGAACGAACAGTGAACCACTTTGGATTTGGTGGGGACGGGAAGCAGGAGGGTACTCGGTGGAAAGGGGAGAGCGGTGCAAAGAGGTTACACTTTGGAGGTGAGGGCGGGAAAGCCCAACTCAGAAATGTCTGGGAAGCAGGGAGCGAAGAGTATACATAGAAGTAAGGTGCGGAGCGACGCGGAGATCATGCCTAAGACATAGAGGGGGACTCAGCAGTGTACCTCGTTGATCTGCCTGTTCTGCTCCCCTCTCTGTCTCTGGTGAAGCTTCTCGCCATCCCTGCACCTCTGGCCTGTACCCCAGTTCTGTATGCATAAAAAAAAAAAAAAAGAAATAGAGGAGAAGAGCCGTGAGTGGGACCAGCTGAGCCAGAAAAGATTGGAAGAATAGAGCAGGTGGAGGAAGGGTGAGGTGGGGGCTAGAAACAAAGGGGTGGCGGAAGAAGGCAGGGGGGGCATATTTTAAAATGGGAGGGGGGCTTCCCTGGTGGAGTAACGGGTTAAGACACAGCGCTGTGAATTTATCTGCAGCCACTGCTGCAGACCCCTTCTGTCTACCTGCTCCCTGCAGCAGTGTATTTCAGCAGATCTGCCTGTTCTGCTTTCTGCTCTGTCTCTGGGGAATCCTCTCACCCTGCCCCCTCCCACCTCTGGCCTACACCCGAGCTCTCGTATGCATCAATAAGTACATCTTTTTTTTTTTTTAAGATGTACTTATTGATGCATACAGGACTGGGGTACAGGCCAGAGGTGCGGAGCAGTGAGAGGACTCCCCAGAGACAGAGTGGGGAGCAGAACAGGCCGAATGATGGAGTAAACTCCTGAGGGGAGCAGTGGGCGGATCAGAAGAGGTCTGCTGCGCCATATGGGTCAGCTCCGGGGCCGAGGATCGAACTCATGTGCTGAAGTGGCTTTAGCTTCTTAGTGCTGTGTTTTAACCTGCTGCACCACCAGGGAGGACCCACATAAATACATAAATCTTAATAAAATGGAAGTGTTGTAGGGATGGAGGACCTTAGGAATGAGGGGGTGCAGTAAGGACAGGAACCTAGAAATGGACGGGCACCGAGCACTTGAGGGTTGAAATAATAAATGGGAGTGGAGGGGAAGGTCACAGACTTTAGAAATGAGGAAGGAACAGGGGCTTACACCTTAGATTTGTGACCTGGAGAAAGAAGGGCAATGATTAGAAGAGGGAGGCAGGGAGAGTGAATTCTGGAAATGAGAACAAAAACGGAGGCCAGATGGCTGGAATGAGCAGCGAGGGAGGACCTCGGAAGTGGTGTGGAGTAGGCAGAACGGACTTGAGAAATGAGGGCGAGGGTGCAGAGCTGGGAGGGTAGATGTTTGAAATGCAAGGGAGTCTTCCTACTGTTGAGTTGTAAGAGTTCTTATGTATTCCAAATATTGGGCCTTTCTCAGATAAACAAATAACAAATATTTTCTCTATTCTGTGGGTTGTCTTCATTTTCTTGATAGTGTCCTTTGAAGCATGGAAGTTTTAAAATTTGATGAAGTACAATTGATCTATTTTCTCTTTTGTTCATTTTGGTGTGATACCTAAGATACTAAAATTTACCTATTTCTAAGAGTTTTCTAGTTTTAACTCTTATAGTTGCATCTTTGATCCATTTTGAGTTAATTTCTTGCACATGGTACAAGGTAGAATCCTGCTTTAATCTTTCACATGTACATATCTGGCCAGTTATTCCAACATTATTTAAAAGACTATGCTTTTCCCTATTGAATGGTCTTCTTGGTGGGTTTGTTGCCTTATCTTTCATTTTTGGATAGTTCACTGCTGGTGTTTAGAAACAGAATTTATTTTTGTGTATGGACTTTGGATCCTGCAATCCTGCTAAACTTGTTATTCATTTTAATTTGTATGTGCATATCTTAGGTGTCTGAGAAAAGAGACAGTTTTACTCACTTCAAGAGTCACTGCTTTTTATTTTTTTCTTGATTAATGGTCCTGACTAAAATTTTTGGAGTATTATTAAATAAATGTGGTGATAGTGGACATCCTTAACTTTTTTGTGATCTTAGGAGGAAGGAATTCAATTTTTTCATTACTAATCACCATTTTAGTTTTTTGTAGATACCTTTTATGAGGTTGAAGAAGTTTACATCCTCTACACCTTTGAGGTGCAGTGAAGTGCAAGGTGGGGTTTAAACAATAAATAATGTCAAGCTCTTGGACACTGAAGGAGGTGATTATTTGCTGTAACTTGGACAATAGATTAGAGATGTAGGAAGCACTCTTGTTTAAGAAGATGATTGTAGGTTAGGGGGATATTGGAGAGACTGGCTTGAAAAAGACTGGATCAAATCAGTTGAAAAACTGAAGAAAGTTCCGTTAGTTCATTTGTATGCCACTTGGTGGGTGCATAACGAATGTTTTCCCCTTAGAAACATTATAAAGGTTGAATAGGTTTCGAGAGCAATGCACAAAAGTCTAATTGATTTACTGAAATTTGGATGGCAACACCTACGTATAACAACAACTATAATAATGTCTTATGCAATAATGTATTTCAGGATCAAACTGAGAATTCTAGGAATGACATCTCCCCTACTATAGATTTATATATAAAATTTATTTTTATTTATTTATGCATACAAGAGCTAGGGTGTACTACCAATCACAGATTTTTTAAGGTTTATTTATTTACACATACAGAACTTGAGTACAGGCTAGAGGTGCAGGGGTGATGAGAGGATTCACCATAGTCAGAGTGGGGAGCAGAACGGGCAGATCGAAGAATTACACTGCTGAGGGGAGGGTCAGGAGAGGTCAGCTGAGCCAAGTGATCACCTCCGGGGCTGGGGATCAAACTCGCACCAAAAGCGTCTGCTGCAAGCTTCTCGGTGCTGTGCTTTAATCTGCTGCACCACCAGGGAGGGCCCCCAATCACAGAATTATATTCCCCCAAACCATCAATTTCATAATCTCACTTCGATATTCTTTGAAGGTTCTCTGTTGCCCATAGCAGTTATTTGCAATCTTTACTGGTAAATATCTGAGTTAGAGAACTTAAAAAAATATATGAACTTGAATTCTTCGGTCTTGCTGAGTTATAATCTTGGATATGGGTTTTATATTTTAAAATAAATCTCCCTAGGTTTATTCTGGTGTATAGTCAGGGTTGAAAACCACTCACCATAAGACAGCATTTCAAAATCTTAGCAAGACTTTCAAAACCCACTCCTCTCCCCCTCCCCAAAAGTGTCAGGAGACTTGTGCTCTAATCTCAGTCTGCCACTAGCTAACTGGGCATATTACTTAACCTCTCTGCGCCTGTTTTCACATTTGCAAAATGAGGGATTATTGAGTTAGGGTGACTTAAGTCTCTTTCTTCCTTTTTGTTTTTTTTAATGCTGTATTTTAATCTTATTCTGGAAAGCTGACTTAAGAGGCAGTTTAAATGAAACAAATGTGTGGGTAATTATTTTCAGTCTGAAATAAACCCATGACATATTTTTCAGTTTTTTTTTTTAAAAATTTATATTTATACATCCAAGAACTGGGATGTAGGCCAGGAGTGTGAGGGGTGAGTGTATTCACCAGATAGAATGGGGAGCAGAACAGGTGGATTTACTGAAATACACTGCTGCGGTGAGCAGCGGGCAGGTCAGGAGATGTCTGCTGCATCAAATGTGGGTGGGCCCTCTGGCCAGGATCAAACTCAGGCATTGGCAGTAATAGCACCTGAGACTTGACCTCTAGGTCACTAGGGAGGCCCTATTTTTCATCTATTAAATAGAGTTTCACTTATCTGTGATATACTTTGCCAGGACAAATTCTTATTCTTTATTGTGTAGCTTGCTTTTCTATACTCAACATTGGTGTGGTTGTCTTCTTTTTTTTTTTTAAAGATTTATTTATTTATGCATACAGAACTGGGGTAGAGGCCAGAGGTGCAGGGGTGGTGAGAGGCTTCACCAGAGACAGAGTGGGGAGGAGAACAGGCAGATCATTGAAGTACACTGCTGAGAGGAGCAGCGGGCGGGTCAGGAGAGGTCTGCCACGCCATGTGGTCACCTCCGGGGCAGGCGGGGGATCGAACTCATGCTGTAGTAGCTTTAGTTTCTTAGTGCTGTGCTTTAACCCGCTGCGCCACCAGGGAGGGCCATGGTTGTCTTCTTTTGCATAAGTAAAACCCTTTGAAATGAAATTGAGCTGTGAAGTAAATAGAACAAAAGTGGAAAAAAGAAAAAACTGAATTTCCTATTACTTCACTGAGTTTTATATAGCAGTTGAGAGTATAATTATTAAACCTGAACCCATTTAAATGAGCCGCTGACATTTAAATGAGCCAGTATAATCGCTTCTGAGTCTAAGCTGGGTGGGAACAGTGACATTTTATTTATTTATTTTTAAAGATTAATTTTATTTATTTATGCATACAAGAGCTGGGGTGCAGACCAATGCTATGGAAGGGTCAGTGGATTCACCAGAGACAGTGGGGAGCAGAACAGGTGGAAATTCTGAACTATACTGCTGAGGGCAGCAGTGGGCAAAACAGAAGAGGTTTGCGGAGCCATGTGGGTCAGCTCTCTGGCGGGGGTGGGGGGGCCTGCAGTGGCTGCTGATAGCTTGGTAGTGCTGAGACTTAACACCTTGGGCCACCAGGGAGGCCTACAGTGACCATTTTAAAGAAAACCTAAATCTCAACACAAAGACAAAATCCTTTGTAGTGCAGGATAATGAATAGCCTGATAGTATGGTAAGTAAATGGGAAAATAATGTATTATTGATTTAGAAAGCCTCCTTATTA